AGCAGAGGACAGGGAGGCCTGACGACCAGGACACATGAAGGCGGCAACAGCAGAGGAAGAAAGCTTTCAGGACACCCCTGGGCCCCAAATGTCCTGTCTCCTTGACTCTCAGGCCAAAAGTGCAGCCTCCCGTGGCCCGAGCACGCCCTCTTCTTTCCAGCCCCGGGGCTGGGTGCTTTTCTGCACTGTGGCCAGGTGGACTGGCTGTGGGCCCTGCAGACTGAGCCTGGGATCTCTGGGAAGCTCACGTAAGTAAGCCTGTGAGCCTGTTTTCTTTTTCTTTTTTTTTTTTTTTTTAAGATTTTATTTATTTATTTGAGAGAGAGAGACAGAGAGAGAGCATGAGAGGGGGGAGGGTCGGGAGGGTCAGAGGGAGAAGCAGACTCCCTGCTGAGCAGGGAGCCCGATGCGGGACTTGATCCCAGGACTCCAGGATCACGACCTGAGCCGAAGGCAGTCGCTTAACCAACTGAGCCACCCAGGCGCCCGAGCCTGTTTTCTTAACTGTAGAAGATAATAATAATAATAATAATAATAATAATAATAATAATAATAATAATAATGGCTCTCTTTCTGGGGTTTTGTGGGAATTAGAGAAAAGATGGTGTACACGGTGGACCTCAACCGGTTAAGTCCTAGGAACTGCTAGTGAAGGTCCGGAGTCTCGTCCCATTCCGACATCTACCAGTTCTGTCGGCTTAGGCAGTCCTTCGCCCCTCTCAGCCTTGGTTTCTTAATCTGTAAAATGGGTAGAAGCAACTCAAACATTTGCAAGTGAGGATAGGAGGAGGCGCTGATGAGAAGTGTGGGTGGGTCGTTAGTCCCATTACTGTGCCCAGGCCCCTGGGGGAGAGAGATGCTTTCCCCAGTGTAGCGTTCCCAGAACCACCAGACTCGCAGAGACCAAGTTCTCAGGCAAGGTCACAGCGGGACCATCCCGGCTGCTGGACCTCCCTGCCCTGCACTCCAAGTGGCTATTGTGAGGCCAACAGCTGTCTCCGCCAAGTGGCATCTCTGGGGCACAAAGAGCAGTGGAGAGGGCAGAGCACACTGGCTCATTGTCCTTGGGGCTGAGCAGCCGCAGCTGGGGGCCACGGGGGGTTCCTCTGACCTCCACCCCATCCCGACACCATGGCTGTCCTGCCACCCAGCCCCGCCCTACTGGACTCAGAGCTTCCCCTCCGGCAGCACCTGAGCAGCATGAAGCCCCCTGTCTCCCCCAGCGCTTTTATCAGGGGCCCTTAGGAACAATAAGCTTGAGGAGGGTGACCTCGGACCTGGGGGCAGGACACTGGTCCTCGTTCCTTACGGCACCGACCTGGGAGGACGACTCTGATACAGCTGCCCCCTGGTAGCAGGCACCCACATGCGCTTCTCGCGGCTGGCACCCCCGGTGAGGTCACGCTGGGGGGTCCCGTTTCACTGGTGCAGAATCTGGGGCTCAGAGGGGTGATTAAATGACTGGCCCAGGGGGGCGCCTGGGTGGCTCAGTTGGTTAAGCGACTGCCTTCGGCTCAGGTCATGATCCTGGAGTCCCTGGATCGAGTCCCGCATCGGGCTCCCTGCTCGGCAGGGAGTCTGCTTCTCCCTCTGACCCTCCTCCCTCTCATGCTCTCTGTCTCTCATTCTCTCTCTCTCAAATTAAAAAAAAAAAAAAAAAAAAAAAAACCTTAAATGACTGGCCCAGGATCACAGGCTGGGGGCCAGCAGAGTCCAGATTTGAACCCAATGCCCTGTGCACAGACTCAGGGTGCCCGAGTGGGGCGTGGGGCAGATGTACAGACACCAGGGAGGAGGACCTGGCCACACTCAGCCCAGAAAAGCACGGGCTGCCATTGGCCAAATGGGTCGTTACTGCTAACTCATAGTTGCTGGCGGTCTGGGCCTCTGCTCAGCCTAGGAGGGGCTCTGGGTGCAGAAGCAATAACAACTGTACTAACGTTAGTACAAACTAACGAACAGGCACGAGGACCTCCCCCAGTTCCCAGCAGCCAGAGAATTCTAGAGCTCCCCGCACTCCCGCTTTTCAGAGCAGTGCATTTATAGAGGAAAAGGGGCAGGGTGATGATGATTCAGGAAATCTGCAGCCGGAGTTAAATGAGCGTCTCATAATGATGGTGATTAAAAATTAACACCACTGTTTGCAGAGCGATGCACGTCCACTCCGCAGCCATGAATTAATGAAACGATGTAAACACGGGCGCTGGGGATATGCTCCAGGGCACAGAGAGAGGACTAGGAGGTTCGAGAGGGGGACCTCCCAGAGCTGGGGCACCCGGCTCCCCACTCCAGCCCCTTCTCCGGGGTATCACCAGGGATTCTGTGGCTTGGGGCTTGATTTTTATCTTTGCACAATGGGAGTGCTGGTCCACTTGGGGAGCCTGGTTGCATACATGGGGGACAGCCCCCCGGTCTGACTGACAAGGAGACGAGGAAAGGACTTATGAGGTGGGAGACCCAGACCACCCCCAGTTGACACCAATTAGCTGTGGGACCTTGGCGGTCACCCACTTCCCTGTGTGTTTATTCGCTCTTCTGTTTGCTGGGGCCACCACAGCAAATTACCACAGAGGTGGTGGCTTGAGACAACAGACACGTACTCTCTCCCATCGCCACAAGTCTGAGACGGTGGTGTGGGCAGGGCAGGCTCCTTCGGGAGCCTCTGTGGGAGAACTGTCTCCTGCCTCTGTCTGGGCCTCTGGGAGTGGCTGGCCAACCTCGGTGCCCCATGGCAGCTGCCAAAATCCCGCCTCCTCCTCTGTCTTCATACAGCTCCTTCTCCACCTCTCTGCCAACCCTGCGTGTCCTAAACCCCCTCTCTTCTCTTGGGAGCACCCTAATTGCAGGCTGATCTCCTTGAGATCCTTCACTTAATTACCTCTGCAAAGATCCAATTTCCAAATTAGGTCACATTCACAGGTACCAGGGGTTAGGACTTGGTCTACCTTTTCGGGGGAGACAATTCAACCCGCCCCAGAAAGCATTTGCGGGAAGCAAAAGCCATGAATGCCGGGTGTTGCCACTCTTATGCCAAATCAACGATTGTGCACCGGGAGTGGGGGACTCGTCTTCGCAACATCCCAGCACACCCTCTGTCCGGCCAGGCGCTCGGAGGTGCCACAGGGAGTCCAGGTGGTGGGCAGGACCTTGACCTGAAGAGGAGGGGACGCTGGTGGTGGATGGAGGGAGGAGTCTGCACTGGGGTCTCCTCTACTGCTCGGCTCTTGCCAATGAACCCTTTCTGGCCACGGGAGTGCAGGGAAGCATCCCTGGAGATAACTCTGGGGGTCTAATTATTATTTTTATCATCCCTTACATAGCTGCCTGCCCTGCCTTTCCTCCTCCATCTGTTCTCCGGGGTGCTGTATGTGGCTCTCCTAGCCCTTCAGGGGGCACTCCGCTGGCTTCATGAGAGAAAACCAAGCCCTAAGAGATACTGGAGTTTCAAGTCCCTGCCTCTCCAACCTTGTCACCCACATCCCTCTGCTAGAAGGTCTAACCTTGACCTTTGACCACCTTGACCTTGACCACCACCCACCCCCTGCCATGTCACCTCATGCCCTGTGCCTTCCTATGGCTGGCCTCCCTTCTGGAATACTCCTCTGCTGCCCCTCGCTGCCCCTGCTTACCGCCCCCCCACCCCAGCCTTTACCATTTCTCACCCTCTTAGGCCCTCTCATCCCCTTGGACCATCGCATACTCCCCACTTGACTGGGCTGTCCCTGAGGGCAGGAAGACAGTCCTTCGTTTCGGGGGCCCCAGTCCCTAGTACACAGATGCTCTCTGGATGTTTATGGAAGGAAATCATCAAGAGACCCGGATTTGAATTCCCTCCTCCCCACCTTCCCAACTGTGTGCCCTTGGCCTCGCCGAGGCTTGATGTCCTCATTTGCCTCCCTGGCCTGCCGGGTTAGTATGTTGACAGACAAATGTGTTTCTGGGACTCCTAATTGATGCATAGGAATAGGGCATCTACCCCAGGGGCCCTGGTGCCCCAGCCTCCCACTGCCCCCAGCTCAGCATGCTGGAGCTGGGGGGGGAGGCCCAGGCTTCTGGAAACTCTTGGATCCCCTCCCCGCCCCGCCTCGGCTCCAGGTGTCGCTCTCTCTCCAGCTATTTTCTTTTGGGATCCAGAGTTCAAAAGAACAGCCCGAGCAGGAGCCCTGGGAAAACAAAAGCCAGCAGGCTCCTTCTTGCAGGCCAGCTCAGGCCTGCAGAGCGCTGCCCACCTCTCCCTGCTCCATCCGGGAAGGAGGGCATCGGGTCCTGTGGGTTCCAGTGCGAGACTCAGACTCGGAAAACATCAGCTCCAGTGGGAGGGAAGGCCAGTGCAGGGGGTGGGGGCCAGGGGCAGCCTGTCCTAGTTAGAGCCCTAATGCGCTCCTTTGAAAGCACTTTCAGATGTCCCAGGCCCTGGGGGCAGGGGTGGCGTAATAATAATAAAACAACATTTGCATAGAGATTTCATTTACAAAGCACTTTCTCAGGGGTGGGAGGCGCTCGGGTGGCCTGTGGAATCCTGGCGGGGAGGCCGGCCTCTGGTTGCTTCCAACCCCAGCCGAGCTCCCAGCTCGGGGATGTGTGCTTGTGTGTGCGGAAACAAAGCGCTATTCAGCAGACTGTTCCTGATTCCTCTGGATTTCGTCCCTTTTCCCCTCTCCCATGAAGAGCTCACTCAGGGCTTGTCACTCAGGCCAGAAAAGGGGTGTCAGGAGTCCCAGAGGGAGGGGTTGGCTAGGATCTGATTGGAGGGAAGCACCCCTGCCCCGCCCCCCCCCCTTACCCTTTGGCCCCCAAGCTCCTGGGAATGGGAGCTGGTTTATGCAACTCTTCTGACCTGTGGCTTTGTCTTCATGTTGAAAGAATGAGCACAGGTTTGGGAATGTCTGCGCATCTGTTGTGTGTATGTCTGAGGACCCGCAGAGAGATGAGCAGCGTGGGGGCCTTTGCTAATTCTTCCCCAGCAGCGCGCCTTGTGAGCGGGATGTCCTGTACTCCGTGCGGGGGCATGGGGCCCTGGGGCTTCTGCACCTGCATCCGGTGGGTGTGGTGAGACATCTGTGCCTGGAGCGTAGCCCCGATGTCACCTGGCCACTGGCCCCCCCGGGGATGAGGGGCGCGGCATCAGAGCCTGGCCCCTTAAGGGAAGAGCTATATAAGGTCCACCTGCAGGGGCTTGAGCAGGTTTTAGCAGCCCCGGCAGGAGGTGGAAGATGCAAGAGGTCATTGCTGGGCTGGAGCAGCTCACCTTCACCTTCGAGAAGGACGTAGAGATGCCGAAGGGCACTGGCCTCCTGCCTTTCCAGGGCATGGACAGTGAGTGAGGACAGGGTGTCAGCCATCCTTCTGGAGGAACTTGTGCCAGGCCCCCTCTCCCCAGCCTTCTCTGGAGGCTTCTCTGCTCAGCTCCTGAGGGGGCAGCCCCTTCACTGCCGCTCGCCAGGGAGACTGAGGCAGTGGGGCTGGGGCCGGCCACCTGTGATTCCCAGCTTAGTCCCTCCCTTCTTAGGGGCTCAGGCTTCCCCTCTTACATCCTCTCCAGGACTCCAGGAAAATGGGGCTGACTTCCAGGCAGCCCATTTCCCAGACTGGGCAAGCAGAGAGACACAGAAGGTGAATTGTGAGAAGCCAGGAAATTCCACACTGGCCCCCTGAACTCCCTTGTGCCCCTCCATCCCCTCTGTTTCAGAGTTGGGGGGGCTTAGGTGTTGAGGTCTCAGGGCTGGTTCTGGAGGCCAGCATCCAAAAAGCCAGGAACTTGGGGGCCCCCAGGCCCAAGCCTCGGGGAAGTTCGGGGTGGGGGGGCACTTCTTGAGTAGGAAAAGCCCCTCCAGCAGCTGCAGCCTCTGAAGAAGCTACCTTCCTTCTTTCCCTTCTAGAGTTGGGCTCGGCTGTGTGCAGCTTCTTCGCTAAAGGGCTCTGTGACAAAGGTGGGTCAGCAGGAGAACATGGCGGTGGGGGCTGTGTGTGCAGGGGCAGTCTAGACTACGGTGGGTTCTGCTTGGCCTGGACTGGGGTGTCGAATCTGCACCTGGGGAGGGGAGGTTGGAATGGAGTCAAATTTGTCTTGTAAGGAGGCAAAGGGCAGGTGGGTGGGTACATCCCTCAGGAAGCCTTCCCCTCCCCACTAAGGATTTCCCTGGCCCAGCAGCATTGATTAGGGTACCTACGGCTACCTGGAGGGGGACATTCCCTTCTTCCCACCTTACTGGGGTTGTGAGTGTTTTGGGGGTTTCAGCCTGTGTGTTCCCAGGAGGCCCCGGGCTTCTTGAGTTTCCTCCCAGCCAGGAAAGCAGTGCCCTTCTCCCCGCTCCCCTCCCCTTCTCACCCTCTGGATCAATATGGGACCTGGTCAGCTGTTCTCTGTAGTCTTTATGTCCTAAGCTGTGGCCATTTCCGTCTTTGAAATGCTACCAGTGTCATCTGTTTCTCCCCCACCCCAACTTGGATTAAGTGATACCTCCTTCTAAGCCCCTCTCCCCTGGTACAGGAGGCCTGAATCCAACCAGGGTTTTTCTCAACCTTTGGCTCATGAACTACTCACAGCCCCTTCCTGTAGAAATACACAGTTGCCCAAAAAGTCTTGTCCTCAATCTGGGGGTTCCCAGTCCCCCTAGAGATCCAGGTTAAATAACCCTGCTATTGTGAATGAATTTAGGACCAGTTTTTCGGATCTAAGTGATCCTGCTCTTGGGAAGCCAGGAGGCCAGGAGGGGCCCAGGCAGGGAGGGGCTGGGGTGTTATTGCCATGTACCTCGTACCGCATTTGGCGTGTTGGCTCTGGATGACGGGGTGAGAGGGAAACCAGCTCATTGCTCACTCGAGGCTCTATGCAGCCAGGACTGAGATGCGGCCTCGGGTCCTTCCTCCAAAGCAGTGGTTCACAGTGACACCCTCTTGCAAAGAAATACCACTGCTCCTGTGGGAGGTCACGCCCGAGCAAGTCACAGGCCCGGGTGACGGGAGGACTATGTACAAAGAAGCCCTTCACACTTTCCCTCCCCTTCTATCTGAGAGTCCGCCAAGCCTGAGGCTGGTCCTGCTCAGGAATTTAGGAACTGGAGCATCCTTCGTGCAGTTGGCAATACCCCAGTGAGAGGATAACAGAGTTACATAGAACATTTCCACTTCCTTCTAAGTTGTTACAGAGCTGGCTCTTAGGTCAGCACCTTAGGTCTCCAGACTCAAGAAACATAACCTTTGGGGGAGTTTTTGTTTTTTAAGATTTTATTTATTTATTTGACAGAGAGAGAGCATGAGCAGGGGGAGAAGCAGAGGGAGAGGCAGGCTCCCCGCTGAGCAGGGAGCCTGATGCGGGGCTCGATCCCAGGACCCTGGGATCATGACCTGAGCTGAAAGCAGACGCCCAACTGACTGAGCCACCCAGGCGCCCCTGTGGGAGTTTTTAAGACCTGATTTTAACAGGCCCTTCGGGAGCACTGGGTGCCCCAGACCGTGCTGGGTGGGAGCCCCGGGCTGGAACCGTGGCTCTGCTCTCTGGTAGGGGCCCCACCATGAGCCTGGAGGAGAGGGGGCCGTGGAGCCCCCTCCCAGGAGCTTCCCTGACCCCCTGGGGCTCCCCGGGGGTGGAGAAGGGCGACGGCAAGCCAGGCAGAGAGGAGAGTTTGGGCAGAGGCGTGGTCATGCCAACAGCCACCTGTCAGGACTACCGAGCATCCTCCATGTTGCCTCTGGCCCTGCTTCCAGCTCCACCAGGGGTCAGGTGATGGGATCAAGGGAGGGCAGCGGGGGTCTGATCCACAGCCTCTCCTGGGGCGTTCCTTCAGGGCTGAGCTGGGTCCAGGCTGTGGGCAGCTGGGTGCTCTGGTGTTCCCAGGGAAGCTCTGCCCATTCCGGCACAACGGGGGAGGGGGGGGGGGAGCTGATGGTAAGCACTGGCTCTGGGGCCTGTGTAAGAAGAGCGACCAGTGCAGTTTCTGGGACCAGTATGACATCACCAGGATGCCCGAGTGCTACTTCTACTCCAAGTTCGGTAATGCCCCTTCCTGGCTCCAGGCCTTGCCCCGGAGGTTGGCAGTGGGGACTGTGAGAGGGGCCGAGGTCTTGAGAGGGGGGCACTCAAAGGAGGCTGTGCATGCCTCGGGGGGCAGACCAGGCCTCTCTGAGCCTCGGGTGCCCGCTTCTCCAGCCCCCTAGATGCAGGGGAGCTGTACTCTGGGGTCCGTCCCTGTTCACTGCCCCGCAGGTCCCCCCCTACCCGGCCCCCAGGGAAGGGAAGGGTGTGGCTGGAATCAAAGGCTGAATTGTTTCCCTCATCACAGACCCGGACTGACTGTCCGGAAACAAGCCTGGAACGGGCCAACTCTCAGTGCCGGGGTGGGTCAGGGCCAGGGGGCCCCAAACTGGCATTTGGAAGTCACTTTCACGATGCTTGCCCAACACACAGAGCACCCATGCGTGCTACTGACCTGTCTGCTCTCTCCATTGTCTTGCTATTATTAAGTCTTATTTTAAAAGGAAACTTCACATTGCTTCCGTAAGTGGAAAGCTAGCATCTCTGATGGGCAGTGCAAGGTAACTGTAAACACACAGTCGTGAGGTTCAGAGGCCCTAGCCTCTCAAGTTATCTTGTGTGGTCAGGTCTGGACCGTGTTCTCCTGCCCTCTGGCCCCAGGACCTCCTTTTGTCATCCACGGGGCTGCAGGGGGGGAAGACACAGCCACTAGTCACCTCCTTTAAGAATGGTCTGCGAGTGTTTCAGATCTCATAAAATATCTTCCCAATAAAATTCTACAGCTCAGTTCTTTCAGGAGCTGGAAGGAGCCCTAGGGATTATCTAGTCTAGTGCTTTTCAAACTGTGTTCCAGAAGAGTGACCTGGGGGGAGAGAGCTGGCCCAGTCTGCAAGGACCTCTCTGAGACAGCTCCAGGAGTAGCTGTCCTTCATTAGTGCCAATGGTGGGGGGCGGTGGGGGGCAGTCCCGGGTTATGTGGGGAGAAAGCAAAGCATCCTCAAAGAGCTCCTCCCAGGCCAAAGTTTGTGTCCTGCCTGCTCGGAGTTGAGGTTCAGCTGCCCGCTTGTGTTTTTTTTGAAAGGAAAGACAAAGTTTATCTGGATTCCGGCTCCCCTTGGTCACCATCTAAACCTCTTTCATTTAAAAATGCCTCTTATTCATTCCTTCAGTAAAACTTGGTTTGGTTTTCTTTGGGGACTCGGATACTGTGCTGGGGACGGTCACAGGGATAGGACCAGGTTCCCTTCTGCCCTCAAATACCTCTCACTGTGAGGGGCATCCATATAAATCATTGATGGTAGTTTGTAACCTCTGTTTCTGCTCTTGGAGTAAATGAATATCTCTAATATCCTATCAAAGTAATTATCGTTCTTCTTGCAAGTAAGTTGTTTTATTTAGAACATTATGTTGGGGGCGCCTGGGTGCCTCAGTCGTTAAGCGTCTGCCTTCGGCTCAGGTCATGATCCCAGGGTCCTGGGATCGAGTCCCACATCGGGCTCCCTGCTCGGCGGGGAGCCTGCTTCTCCCTCTCCCATTCCCCCTGCTTGTGTTCCTGCTCTTGCTATGTCTCTCTCTGTCAAATAAATAAATAAAATCTTAAAAAAAAAAAAAAAGGAACATTATGTTGGGAGGTGGTGGAGCGCGAAGGGGCAGCTGAAGGGGGCCAGGGGCTTTGGGCCCTGCGGCTGGCTCCGAAACGCGGAGTGGAGGGTGGGGTGCGGTGCCACCTGCTGGCCGTCAGAGGAACGCGGAGACGTGCATCCAGGCCGAGGCAGAAAGGGAGCTTGGCACAGGTGACTTCCCACCGCCTGACCTGTCAAATGCTGACCAGCCCTGGGGTATGTCACTCCATTCCTCAGGAGGCCGGAGCTCAGAGTCAGTGCTCGGCCAAGGGCTGCACACAGACGCCGAGCACGTAAACCCCTCGTCAATGCGAGGAAGCCCGGTGATCGTGGCCGCGGCACTTCCCCTCTCTGAGCCCTGGTGTCCTCGTTCGTGAGATGGGAGGGTTGGAGGGAATAGTGGTTTAAAGCTCTTCAGTATCCGTGCACTGTTCTCCAGGTGAAACCTGCTTTGCAGAAGCACAGTGTAGAAAATAGATCTCTGGAGCAGTTTGAAAGCCAATGGGGTGAACCCCGTGAAGTTCCTTTTGGTTCTGAGAAGCACCAAGTTGTAGATTTTTAAGGAGGATGAGATTGGAGGCATTCACCGCTTCTCTACTCAAGAGGTGAAAAATGAGCCGGATCTTCCCCATGGCTCCTTCAAAGCCCCTGGGCCCCTAAGAGAAAACTAAGGGGGTTCTTACCACAACTCTCACGTGGTCTGTCCAACAGGGCTGGCTCCTTCGAGGGGACCTGAGTCCTGGGCCAACCCACAGACCGATAACAGCGCAGGCGTTGTGAAGCTACAGGTGTCCCTCATGTCGAGTCTGACATCATCCTGGTGCCAACTTGGGAGCACTACTCTGCTCTTCTTGGCATTTCCACCGAAAAGGACTGTGCGTGGTTCTGGAAACATTGTAGATGTCGTCGTGATGAAGAGGAGGGGGCTTTCATCAGCATCCACGGTATGTCTTCTTGGATCGTTCGCTGCCCACTCTGGGTCTCCCCTCCCCGCCTCTCCTCTCGTTCCTTCCTCTCTGGTGGCCTCCAAATGCCTTCAGTTCCGGCCCCTCCTTCTGGATCTCTGGCCCTGCCCCAACTCTTCCAGATGTGTTTATTCCCACCCAAGCCCTGCTTGGCATGTAGCATTGGGGTCCAACCCCCTTAGATTGCAGGAAGGATCCAAAAAACCTTGCTGTCTTGCAAAAGTGGCCAATGACAGACGGCAAGCAAGTGGCTTCTGTGCAAGGGGCAAGGTCAGTCCAGTTTGGGGAGGGCGGAAGTAACAATAAAGATGAGCCTACATTTAAAGAATGCTGGATTTTTCAGGTGATTGCAACAACAAGGAACGTGCCTTTCTCCACATGAAGCCAGCTTTCAAGACCCGAGACTGTCCTTGGTATGACCAAGGTTTCTGCAAGGATGGTGAGGCCCCAATGGAAAGGGAGCACTAGGTGATCAGGATGTGTGTGTGGGGGGGTCCCTGGCAGGGGAAGGAGGCATATTCCTGATGAAGCCCCGTGGGGCCTTCCCAACAGAAGGTCCTTCCATCGTTCTCCCCAGGCCCGCTCTGTGACATTGTTAACATTCAGCCAACAATGCAAGGACTGGCACAGAGCTGGCTTCTTGCAGCAGGCTTACCTGGGTTCCAATCCTGGTGACTTCAAAGTGCATCAACTGTGTGACCTTGAACTAGTTGCTGAACTCATTTCCTCACTTATGAAAAGGGGAAACCCCTCCCTTGTAGGGTTACGGAGTTGGTCAGATCTAGGACCCCATGGGAAGCCCTTGGCATAGGGGCCCACAGGAGACAGTTCATCTACATTCTCTTCTCTATTTCTTTTAACCCCCCCTGCCCCGGGGGTGTGCTGTCACTGAAGCTTGCTCCATCTACCCCACTAAGAAGCAGCTTCCCCCCATCACAGTCCCTCTGCTCTGAGGACTACGTGCTTTGTTTTCCGGCGAATTGCTCTGAGGCCTTGGCAGTGTTGGTTTGGGGGATTTTAGGGGAGAATAAGTAGGTTGTGGGGTTAGCCTTTCCCCAGCTGTACCTTCTGGAGCTAAATAAAGATGGCACATGACTGTCCTCAACCACATCAATTCACCAAGATGCAGTGTGCTGGGACGCTTCCAACCCCATTGTTCGGGACCCACCCCAACATATTCCGAGGTCTCCTTTCCCCTCTCAGTCACGCGGCTAGGAAGCAGGTGCTTTGGGCGGTCTGGAAGGGACAGGGAGATTTATGCACCCTGTGAGGTGGAGAGCCTGTGACTGCCATACCCTTCCGCTGAGCTTTGTCATGTGTGTTTCTGGCTGTTCTTTGCCCAGCAGGTCCCCTCTGTAAGCACTGCCATGTCCATAAGACAATGTGTGTTAACTACTTAGTGGGTTTCTGCCCCGAGGGCCCCCACTGCCAATTTGCACGGTAAGTATGACCCCTGGATCAGCAAATCCCACTTAGTACGGGGTCCGTTCTGTGGCTTCTAGATCTAGATCCTTCCATACCTTCACTGGCCCAAGGTGGGAAATGAAGTGTCTGGTGAGCATCTGCCCAGTGTTTTCCTTGCTAGCTTACCCGGCACACCCACACCCCCTTCCCCCACTTGGTGCTGCACTGAATACCCCAGGCTGATAATGTGTATTCGTGTTGGGCATGGACATACAGCTCTTCACAAACTGTTCTAGAAATGAGTAGAAACCCTTAACACCCACCCCAACCCTCTGCAGTTCTCCCTCATCCCCCTGGCTGGGGTATGGGCTCCTTTCCCACAGGGTTCAGAAATGGGAAATCTGCAGCAGGCTGACACGGAGCATGCTAATGAGCAGGTGACGGGGGTGAGGGTGGGGTGGGGTGGGTGGGGTGGGTGGAGCCAGGCTGTAATCATCTCTCTCTGCTTCCTTCAGTCCCAAGATGAATCTTTTTATTCAACTCGAGCTACACGAAGGTGAGTGCAGGCAGGAAGGGGGCAGGTGTGTCTGGCTCTCTTTACTGCGCATGCTCCCTGGGGAGCTCCCTCCCTCTCTCTCTCTCTCTCTCTGGCACCGCACTATGCCCAGCTGCCCTCTCTCACACAATCTGCTCCAAGTACCCACCCCAGGAAAGGCACACGCCACCACCCAAATCCCCTCCAACCTCTGTAACCTCTGCTTCTTGCAGGACTGCTCAGCTTATCAGCCCCTGAGGCTTTCCTTCTCCTTAGCTGGATAGTGCGTGCGTGCGTGTGATCTTTATGCCCACCATGGGGTTTGAACTCACGACCCCGTGTGTGTGTGTGTGTGTGTGTGTGATCTCTATGCCCAACACTGGGTTTGAACTCACAACCCCGAGATGAAGAGTTGCATGTTCTACCAACTGAGCCCACCAGGTGCCCAACGGGTGAGGTTTTAAAATAAAGAATGAGGGGCCCAGCTCCGTATTTGTGGTCCAAAGGTGTTATTCCGCATCCGGGCCCTCCTGGTTGTGCCCAGTCTCTCTGGGAACATATACCCTTCTTACTGCTATCAAGCACTGAAGAGCACCTCCCCACATCAGGGGTCAGCAAACTACAGCCTGTGGGCCAAATCTGGCCACTGCTGTCTTTGTACAGCCTGGCACCCAAGAACGATTGTTTAAGAAGCTTAGGGAAAAAGGCAAACAAAAGAACATATTGTTAACACGGGAAAATGAGAATGTCCGTTCTGGAAGTTTTACTGGATCGGGGCGAAGCTCACGGCTTCCGCATCCTCCAGAGCCGGTCTCGGGCCTACGCAGCAGGGCTGAGTGGCTGCCACAGAGCCCAGATGGCCTGCAAAGCCAAACATCTTCCTAGCTGGTCTTCCACAGAAAGCCTTTGCTGACCCCTGGCCTGGATGACTCAATGTTGGGCGGCCGGTGGGGTCAGAGAGGCCAGAACAGGCGTGGGAACAGGCCTCTGCTCCGCCGCCGTGCATCAGCGCGCCCACATCCGGCCCCTCCGCAGGAGGGAAGGCCCGCGCCGGCTCGGGAGGCGCCCCCTGCTGCCTCTGAGTGGGATCTCTGCTAGAAGGTGGGAAGCCTCTTCCATGACTCTGGGCCATTCCCAAGCCCATTTTAACTCTCATCTGGAGGCATGTTTTGGCAATGAAAGCTGTCACTAAGGGCATCTCGAAACCAGGTTTCCGCCGAAACACCTGGCCAGAGCCTCTGCCCTTGGTGTAAAGCCACCATGTCTGCAGTTTTCTCCTGACCTTAGCAGCTCGTCAAACGGCCATGGGGTTCAGCACCTCCTGCTTCTGCCTGGGAGCCTCGCAAGCCCCATTCCCCGACCACGGAGTACCTGCTTCTCCACCCTCAGGTGGCCCCAGGAGCCCCTGGTCTCCTATCGTTCGGGGCTCAGGGCACTGGAGCAGGGCCCGGGCTACATGGTGAGTCGCTGCGGACAGACCAGGCCACTGCCCCGCTGAGGGCAGGGGAGGGGGGAGTGGCTGCCGTTGGTCAGGTAAGACCACCACACTGGGGGACAGGGGTACAAATGAGGGGGGTGGGGAGCAGCGGTAACCCCAATGTTTCTAAGTCTCCACGACCTCAACTGACGTACATCTCCGGCCAGACAAGACTTTCTTTCTTTAAAAGCTAGTAAGTTAAACAGCTTTCACCTCCTCCTTTGCTGCCTACGAATTCTGAGTTCATACATGAAGATTCGGGGGGCAGGATTTGGTAAGGAAGGGAACGTAGCACCTTTTCTGGTTTTGTTGTGTTTTTGCTATTTTCTGGCTTATCAGAAAGAAAAACGTAACTTCATGAGATAACGTCTACATTGTCCTGTGCTTCTGACTCCTCTATACTGATAGAGAAGGCTCCATCAGGAGAGGGAAGGGTGCAGAGCTGCCTTTCTCATACGTTTGATTTTGGGGCCTCTGAACATCTGCAGGTCTGCTCTCTGGGACAGAAATCCTGGCTTGAATCTCAAGGTCTTTCAGGCCTGAGATGGAGCTTCATTTAAGAGAGCATCCATCAAACTCCTTAGAATGACAGCTAAACTAGCTCTCAGGATTCCCCAGACAGGTTAGGGTATTCCTCTTGGGATTTGAATTTACAGAAAGTCACACCACTCATCTCTTCCTTTTAGTGTCGAAGCGTGGGCCATTATGCCAGCCAGTGCAGTGAGACGCCCAACAGGTAGGAGTTATCAAAAAAGGAAGCCCTGCTCTGTGGGCTAACCGAAGACCTTCTAGTGAAGACACCCAATGGCCTTTCGGTGGGATCCTCTGGTCCCAGGGCCCAGTGAGCCCTCGTGTCGGCCTCCACGGGGCAGGGGATGCGGGATTAGCAGCCCGCCGCACGCAGGCTTATTTCCTCTCATCCTGTGAGGGAGCGAGCTGCTAAAAACACAACAGGACTGGAGGCAGATGGACTGTGGTAGGACACGGTACCCGTAACATGGGGGAGCAGAATGTGCGTACACCCCAAGGTCAGGTGCGTGGCAAGTGCAGGTGTCGCGCTCTGCGCGGTTAGTGCACGGCCGCCAAAGCCCGGCTGCACGCGGCGGTTCTGTGCGGACCGTCTCACCGTCTGCTCTCAACGATTAAACCCAACAGGTCTCCTTAGCACAGCAGCTGCTTCCCTGTCTGGCCCGTGCCTCATGTGAGGAGCTACGGGGAGGGAGGTGCTACAAACAGGGCTGACCTTGGGGAGGCAAGGGAGTGACGCGGCCCATTTAATGCAGTACTATCTATGCTGATGCCTCAGGCAAAGGCCACTGTGAGTTAGTCCACGGGGAGAGGAGCGGGGAGGCTAAGCCAAGCCTTTCGGGGAAATGGGGAAAACAGAAGGTGTGTGGTAGGACCAGCCTCCCTACGCTCTTTGGCGGATGGAGCCAGCTGCCTGGCCAACCTGGAGCTGGAGGGTAAGCGGCCAGGGCAGCCTGGAAGATGCTGGCCCACCTGGAGCTGGAGGGTAAGGGGCCAGGGCAGCCTGGAAGATGCTGGCCCACCTGGAGCTGGAGGGTAAGCGGCCAGGGCAGCCTGGAAGATGCTGGCCCACCTGGAGCTGGAGGGTAAGGGGCCAGGGCAGCCTGGAAGATGCTGGCCCACCTGGAGCTGGAGGGTAAGCGGCCAGGGCAGCCTGGAAGAATGCTGGCCCACCGGAGCTGGAGGGTAAGGGGCCAGGGCAGCCTGGAAGATGCTGGCCCACCCGAGCTGGAGGGTAAGGGGCCAGGGCAGCCTGGAAGATGCTGGCCCACCTGGAGCTGGAGGGTAAGGGGCCAGGGCAGCCTGGAAGATGCTGGCCCACCCGGAGCTGGAGGGTAAGGGGCCAGGGCAGGCCCACAGCACGGCAGCAGCACTGGGCTGCTGAGACCCACACCACGCAGCCTTGGAGGCAAACCGCCTCACGTCAAGCCTCCACTTCCTCGTGGTGAAAAAGGAGCAGAGCACCCGCCTCACAGAGTGGCCCGAAGGACAGAACGAGAGCACGCAGGTAAAGAACTCGGCACGGCACTTGGCTTTGACGGAGCAGGCACCCGAACGGCAGCCGGACTGCCGTGTGCATTGTGGTGCGGTCTTTCTGCTTGGTTCAAGTTTAGAATCTCAACACGGGATGACGCCACGGAGGTTTCAAAAGAGCTGTTATAATTTAATTCCTGCTTCATGTCAGCCTTTGCTGGAATTTACTGATGCGGGACTTCTTATCTCCCCGAATCTCTGCAAAGTACGTATGATCGTCCCCACCTTATAGTTCAGACCGACCAGAAAGGCTCCAGTAAGTTAGATAACTTGCCCAGGGCCACACCCACCCAACTCAAAGGTGAGGGGCTGGAAGAGGCAGATAGTAAGAGGGGAATTAAAAAAAATATATATATATATATATGTATATATATATAAATGTTGTTGTTCTGAAGAGTGGTGGTGATCCCATGGTGGAGGAGCACAGGGAACAGGGTAATTAGGATAATCTGTAAATCAGGACAAACAAGGACTAAGAACAATGGCAGCAGATAGTTTCTCATAAGGAGTAAAACACCCCTTTGCTAATAGAACAAATGATTATCTTTAATAGGTAAACACTTTAATGTGTATTAGACAAAAGTACTTTCCCCAGTACACTCAGGATTTCAGATATTCTCACTCAGGCTTAAATTCCAGGAGCTAATGCCAGGGTTAACCCACCCTGCAGACCACAAGGGTGCAGCCAGGGCATTGCGGCCTGCCTGCGAGGATTTTCAGCCTTCCAGAATGAGACCCTCCTTGCGAGTCTCCTCAAAGGTGGAGAGGAGCCTGGCTATCACATAACTCTGCTGCTGGATGGACAGGAAGGCGGATGGGGACTGTTTGTATGGATTCTCTGCCCACTGCTGGAAGACGTGTTGGCAAATTCACGCTGCTGAACTGGAAGCAAAACCTAAGCATTGCTGCTCACCCAAGGGGCTTCTGCCAGGACCGCGGAAGGTACAGAGCATCGTTTGGGGAGACAAAATCAAGGAGGCTGTTTTTAACATGGCCCATCAAGTTACGAGCATTCCTGACTTTTTCTTGGCTTTGTGAAGAGAAGAGCAGTTACTCCTGCCTCATATCTACAGGGCGCTGGCTTCAGGAGCTCAGGTTCACTTGTCTACATTTCCAGTTTGGAAAAGAATCTCTAGTCTTGCCGGATGAAGCCTTGCATCCGCCAGATCACATGCATGACTGGGACTGGCTGTGCAAATGAACTTATCTTGTAGGGATATTTGCATGTACAAGTAATAAATGTGTCCTCATAAACCAGAGTTACATTACTCTTGCAAGTGGGAGCTATGAAGTGTATCCCTTGATCATGCGAGTTTGTCTGGACCCGAATCCCGGAAAAGAATCCACAGTTGTCAGCTGACCTCAACGACTCAAGACTATTTGGGACATTATGAAGAAATCCTTAAAAGACTTGATGAAAGGTCTTTAAGCATACTCCTACCCCAGATGGCAGCAGTGAGCGGAAAGGAACTCTCCCTGTCTGGCGGTGGCCGTTACCAAGGAACTCCAGAATCCAGAGACACTGCCCATGGCTTCTGCGAAGTCCCCCGATCATTTAAGAATCCATGCTCAGTATCAAATTCAAAGACCTCAGTTAAGACTCTTCTTTTTCTTCATTCCTGCTACCTGTGAGTTAAGATTCTTGGTATTGATCACGTCAGATTAAAAATCCTCTTTTGAATGCTGGATCCTACCTTTGTCTTAAGCGTGGCAAAACGAAGCAGCTCTCCTTTTAGGGACTGGTGGGATCATTATGCAGTTCACTCTCCTCGTTAAGGAACTTATTTTCAGGGATGTAAAATATTTATTGTGACATATAAATTAAGTGAAACCTTTTCATTGTTCTAGCATTCAAGTGACAAGCGACACGTTTATTTACAGTAGTGGTCAAAGTGTGGAGCAGGCTGTGCTCTGGGAAGGCTATTTACAAAACAGAGAGAGGGCTGACCTGTGCAGAGGGCCACTGTAGCCTGCTGAGCCCGACTTGAGGGGTTTGGGGAAGTGGGCAGGAGGCCATCAATGAGGCCATCATAGACAGCATTGTCCTCTACCTTGGCAGCCTGAGCGTTTCTGACCTAGACTAAGGACCAAGGGGGAAGTGCAGGGAGAATCCCTCCCTAAGTGCCTCTTTTAAAGGGCATTTGCAAAGAATGGGCACAAAGTCCTTTCAAAATGAAAGCTACAGTTTTTGGAATTTCAATGAAGTTCTTAGTAATATTAGACTAAAATAGCCAAATGCAGTACTCTTCCTCAGCCGTAAATTTTTCCTTATGGAGAATTCTAGTATACCTTTCCCCTAACCATGAGCAACTGATGCAGAATTAAATTACTCCCACTGGGGATAATTAGAGAAGGAGAGAGACTGGGGGCTGGGATAGAAAAGGTAGATAAAGCAGAAGATAGAGCCAAAATTCAAGTTTTGAGAAGACAGAAGAGATGTACAAATAAATGCATGCTTGCCTTACAACAGCACACCCGCTTGTTTGTGGTTTTGAAGGAGCTGGGACAAAACAGGGACTGAGCTCATGTATTTGGCGAGGATATCACAAGCAAAGCTAAAATATGTGTGTGTGTGTGTGTATGTGTATATAAAGCAAACAGGTAGATATGAACAGATCTATGATAGATAATCAATCCCTGTGTTGGAAAAGGGACTGGAGCAAAAGTCATCCGCCTGTGCTATCCAGTTACTATCTATCTTTTCTAACGAGCTACTGTCTAGGGGCCAAAGCAGAAGCCATAAAATTAGAAAACAACACTGAATATTTGGATGGGGGAAGAGACACGGAAAACCCACCAGCCAAAAACAGTCCTAACGAAGTAAAAAGAATGTCAGAGTATTTCACAGAAATTCTTAGGAAGGGATGGGGTGGGATTCTGGAAGTTTCTAGGAGGACATGATAAACAGAAACCATTTGTTCACTATTATACTCACTTAAGATGAATAAAAAGTGATTTAAAATTCTGTTTAGTGTGTGATTTCATTTTAACCAACTTAAAACTATATTACGGACTTTTCATAGGCTCACCTGCAACTCTGGATCCATCTTACTTTCTTTTGTTTCTCACGCCTGCCAAGATCTGGTCAGGGACCCCAAAAGGGCCTGATGTAGGCTCATTTTCTGCCACTTCACACATACTCTTCTGGATCAGTAAGCATGTAGCCTGGTATATTGTATGGATGAATAATAAAATGCCAAAGCTTAGAGAATAATTTTAGGGAGAAATATTTAAAAGTGAGATTATTATTTACTGAGAACTAAGAAATAATTATTTAAAAAATTTTAGTGATGACCTTTGTCATCTTCATGCCTCCCTGAAAACCAGCAGCCTTTACGAGCACACAGAAGTCTGTTCAACCACTGTCACTCTTGAGAGCCAGCCAAAGAAATGTCCACCCAGAACTGGACCTGTCCACATTAAAAAAACGGACCTCCTCTGTAACTGTTTTAGATTGCAGTAATTTTATTCTTTTCACTCCCTCTCCCCCAAACCATTTTAAATTGTTAAATCTGCACTGCAGGTGGCCCCAGCATACGCTCTCTGGAGGCTCCAAGCTTCCGTACTCGGTGTCCAGGTCATCACTTACGCCAGCGCTGCAGCTCTTTGGATAAACAGACAGAAGTGTAAGGATCCACGAGGCCACTCCTAAAGACTGTTTCTGTCTCTTGCCTGTGGAGATCATTCCGTTTCCCCTTTGTTTTACAGATTCAGAAATAAAGTCTTAGGGGCAATCAGAAATTTCTGCTTCACTGTCTTCAATTCAAAGATGTGAAAAACAAACCTCAGGTATCAACCAACTGAGCCCTTTCAGACAGGTAAGCCTTTAAGGGGAGGCCTTGTCCCTGGGAAAGAAGTCAGTCAAGGTTTTTAGGAGTCTCCATGTATGCCAGGCTGATCAGAAAGGAACTCCTCTTTCTCATGAACAGACGGGTGGATGGATCACACACCACCTACCAGCTCCCCACCAGCCATGTGTAGGAATTTACCACAGTCCCATTTCTGCTACTTGACCTGTTCTCCCACTTACTAGACACCGAATCAGTCAAAAAATCCAATTAGAGTCAAGTCCTGTGTTGTTTTTTTTTTTTTTTCATTTAAGTAGGCGCCACACCCAATATGGGGCTTGAACTCACGACCCTGGGATCAAGAGTCACATGCTCTACTGACTGAGCCACCCCAAGTCCTGGTATTTTAGAAGTCCTATTAACCATTTGTGAATTACACTGGTATTAATGGTTATCCTGTACTTTTACACCAAAAGTTTTCAGAAAGCGACTGGGCTTTTTTTTTTTAATTTTTCTTGAGATTTCTTTTTTTTTAAAGATTTTATTTATTTGACAGAGAGAGACAGCGAGAGCAGGAACACAAGCAGGGGGGAGTGGGAGAGGGAGAAGCAGGCTTGCCACGGAGCAGGGAGCCTGATGCGGGGCTCGATCCCAGGACCCTGGGATCATGACCTGAGCCGAGGCAGACGCCCAATGACTGAGCCACCCAGGTGCCCCGGGCTTTTTTTTTTTTAATTGTGGAAAAATACTGGGCTTTTTTGATATTCTCCTCTATACAATGTCTTTTAAACATTTTAACTATAAAAACATTTTTATAAAAATGAGAAAAGTCATCTTGGACTAAAAGAGAAATGAACTTCAGATATTTTTCCTCCTGGTAAGACCTGATGCAAGCTCAAACTCCCAACTAGAAGGATGTTTTTGTTTTATGTGGTGAAAGTCACGTTAACTAAGATTTCTGTGACCCTCAGACACATGAATGAGAGCTGTATGGTTTTTCCTCCACTCTTGGGGTATAGAGCTGTTTGGTTTCAATGCTAAAAAGTTCTAAGGCAGGGATTAAGAAGGGTGCTGATCTGGCAGGCAAACGACTTTCAAAGGAGAAAGCACAAGACCACCAGATCATCAGGAAAAACCTCACGTGGAGCACAGGAGCAATTATGTAAATTCTAGTCAAATCTTATAAAGTTCATTATAACCATAATCTGTAATAAAAAACCAAAGGCAGTGGCTCATTCACGAGGGCATGTCAAATAATGCAACACTGTCCTATAGAAAGCAATTCAGAGAGTCCCCTGGAGGTCCCTGTAGTGGGACATGACCTGGGATTTTGGCTAAAAATATCAAAAAGGCTTACTCAGATGCCTGAAACTCCAGCTGCACCACAGGACGAAGTACCCCGTAAAGAGCATGGTGATGCCCCCAACTCCACTCCTCACCGTGGTGCTGCACCTGATCCAGCCTGTTTAAAAAGAAACATGTCTGGTTGCTATGGTGAACTGTAACTAGGGGCCTCGACCTGCCAGTTATGCAAGTTCTCCCAGTTAGCCTGGGTGATGGGCTTGTAATGCACAGAACTGACATACCACCACATAGGTATTTTTTAAACAGATGAAAAGGCTCAAATCCTGAAGACCACAATTTTAATACATTTAGTTATTCTTGTTTGGAGAGTTTAGTCGCAATCTTGAGTGGGGAGATTAAAACAGACTGGTTAACTCGAGGTGTAGAGTTCTCCTGGCTCTGGGACGATCAAGGTGGGCAAGGGAGAGATGAGGGTAGGTGGCAGGGGGGACAGGACAGAAATGAACTCTGTTCCAAAATGGCAGCAGCTGTTCTGCCGGCTTTGGTGCTCTCGATTATGTCAGATTCCAGGGCAAAAACAGACAAAGAGAAGAGAAGGAAGCCTACGCACTGGTCTCTTTCTCTCTTTCCCTTAGCCCTGCTGTAACAGCCATGGCTAAAGTAAGAGAAACTTCTCCAAATGCTTGGAACCAGCAACACAACCCAACAGTCCGTGACTCCAGCTCACCTTTCTGGACAGCTCCCAAGAGCCTCATCAGAGACAAGTTGGAGGTTGTAAGTCTGGTCGGGGGTTCCAAACTCCTGAGAGCAGTCGAGCTTCTTTCCAACAAAGGAACTACGGTTCCAAACAGAAGGCACTGTGATCGTTCATCTAGGTTCAGGCTTTTTCCCGCCACTCCGTGCCTGCGGTTCCCAGGGCCAGGCTGCAGGAAGGGGATCTGGGCTGTGTGGGGCTGCGGTTAGCTAAGTGCCCAAAGTCAAAGCCGGTGATTCCCAGTCAGAAAGAGGTTCCTCAAAAGGCTGAAGGAGCCCCTGGGGATCAGGACCCGGAGATGTTTTTTGATCTGATGAACATACTGTGCAGCTGATCCAGGTGTACATGCTTAATGAAATGACCTGTCTACATTTTCCACCATTTGCTAAACATTTTAGCAGAAGGCAGGACTTTCTACTATCGTAATACCTACTGCTCCTTGTTACTACATGTACTAGAATCGACATGTGTGCCCTATGAGCCCCACTACTACTGACCAGGCAACGTTTCTCATTTATGTTTAACACGTGAATAACGAATGTAGAATCAGAAGGGAGGGTTTAATGCTATCTATTTACAGCTTTCCTGCACCTGTTTTTGTTTAATGATAGGCACGGAATCTCTACTGTTGCTGGTTCTCTGGTCTTGGGTTCAACGGGATAAAGGATAAATGAAGCAAATATTTACGACAGGTTTAGCAGAAGAGTTAAAAGTTGCTATGGACATAAAAATGCTACCCAAATACTCGTTACATTAAGGAACAATGAGAAAAACCACGCTGCCTTCCAAGAAATTACACGGAAGATAATTATTTCACCAAGGTGAAGATTAATCTCTTAAACAAAGCATGACATGATCCATTCTTCTTGGAAAAAAATGGAAAAAGATGGGAAGAGACACTTTCGTGAAAACTCCCAATTATAGAACCACTTCCCCTGCCGTGTCAGGAACGGGGTGTCCCCTCAACTGTTCCTTCTCCAGCCAGCAGCCTCCTTCATTGAGTTCAAACTTTTATGAACATCATCAGTTCTGGCCCTAAGCTTGGGTGTAAAATAGCCTGAAGCCCAGGAGAGGCCAGCTCAGAACCCACAGAAGTTCTGTTAGAGCTTCTCCAGTTCATCCTTCCTGCTACTCAGGGACCCTGGGTTCTGGTCTACATCCCTTTCGGCCTGGCTGTGGGCCCAGGAATGCTAACACCCACTGCCATCTCCTGTCCTTGACCTGCCAGTGTTGACGTCCTTACATCCCATACCTAGTGACAACAGCTCTGCTCACAGAAACGCTGGAACCGTCCCGTCCCTACCTTGGGTACCTCTAATACTTCCTATTACCTCTCTGGCCTGGCTGGAACTCTGGACATGTGACTTGACTCACCCCTCAGGTCTCTCTGGCTGTTGTCACATGTTCTTTTATGTAAAACCTCCCCTTTCACAGCCTCCTCTACTAGCAGACTCATCCTGGCTTGTGCTACTCCTGTTCTGCCCTGATCCTGCCCCACATGTGCCGTCTCAAGCATCTCACCAGGATAGTTTATTTCTGGAAATGCTATTTGATGAGAGAATGGCCTTTAAAAACCCATGATGCAGGGCGCCAGAGTAGCGTAGCCAGTTAAGTGTCAGAGTCTTGGTTTTGGCTCAGGTTGTGATCTGAGGGTTGTGGGATTAAGTTCTGCATGGGGCTCCGCACTCAGTGCAGAGTCTGCTTAAGACTCTCTCTCTCTCCCTGCCCCTCCCACTTGTGCTCTAAGATAAAAAAAAATCTTAAAAAAACAAAAAAAACCAAAACATCCAAACCCATGACCTTGTAAGGTTTCATTTTTTTTTTTTAAGATTTTATTTATTCATTAGACAGAGAGAGAGCACAAGCAGGGAGAGGGAGAAGGAGAGGCAGGCTCCCCGCGGAGCAAGGAGCCCGATGCAGGGCTTGATCCCAGGACCCCGGGATCATGACCTGAGCTGAAGGCAGATGCTTAACTGACTGAGTCACCCAGGCGCCCCAAGTTTCCTCATTTTACCTTCTGCTATCCCCACCAGCCAAATTTTGCTTTCTGTAGTTCAATGAACTGTTTTTTCAAACCTCTCCCTCCCTTCCCCCATTTGCCAATACCCCCAATCCCCTATGTTGGGTCTGCGTCTCCTCGCTCCAGTGGCCTCCCCAATACCAGTGGTACTCTAAAACTTGGCTGCTCTGCACAAACACTTAAGACATGTTTGCAAACAAGACTGTTAGACCCTACTTCGGGACCAGTCTCTGGGGATGAGGTCCAGGAATCTTTAATCCTATGTGAAACTGTCAGTTGTCCAGATTTGGGACCCAAAGACCTAGATCTCTTCAACTCGAGTCCTGAAAGCCTAGGCACCTGAATTCAGCCAAGGCTCGGCCAAGCATCCCCAGCTAAGCGCGTGCAAGGCTTTCCTTTGAACAAAAGCCAATTTCTATTGCTGAGGACTCTTAAGACACTTGTATTTGCTGAGTCTCCAGGGAGTTAAATCCTGAACTTCTAAAATCTATTTTTGCTAATGCTGGGAGAACTGCTTTTTTTGGGTAGTAAGTCTGTGAAAATCCTTATTAAACCTCACAAGACGGCTCCTAATGCCGCCGAGTTCCATAAGCCTAATTCTCGTTCCCAACTTACTGAAACCCAACTCTGTGGTGTCCTCAGAACTATCAGTCTGCCAAACTAATCAGAGTACTGCAGACTGCAACCAATAAAAGAGAACAGAAGAGCTCTGAGCCTGGGGTGCCTGGGTAGCTCAGTTGGTTAAGCGTCCGAATCGATTTCAGCTCAGGCTCCGCACTCAGCGTGGAGCCTGCTTAAGGTTCTCTCTTTGACCACCACTAACTGTATTAACATGGGCACATCACTTAACATGTCTGGGGCTCAGATTCCTCACGTATAAAGGAAGGTGGGGCATTGACTTCAGTGACAGTCACCTGAGTTGTCATCAAGGTTGAATGAGGTAATAATGCCACATACCTAGCTGTGTCTGGTACAGTCATCACCTGACCAATGTTAGTCCCCTCCCCTTCTCTGAAATGACAAGTGCCTATATCAGAGACATTCCTCAGCACTATTAAAGACAGTACAGGAAATACAGAAGTCCCACTTGCCAGAGATTTGCCACGGGCCACTGTAAACCACAGAGAAGTGGAGATCTGACAACCACCTATGTTTCTAGTTAAGGCGCACTTTCTGCAATACGGTTTAGTGGAAAGCGCGAAATGTGGTCTGAAGAGACTGCGTTCTACCTGCTGCTCTACCACCTACTGGCAACATGACCTTGAACCAATCACTTATCCTCTCTGCCTGTTTCATCACCTGCCAAACAGAGAAATCGCTGCCCACTTCTCAGTGTGGTGAGGCTGAAATAAGAAAACGGATGGAAGCACTCTGAAAACAAAGCAACACAGATGTTAACAGTAATTCTGTCAACATGGAGAAGGGGCTTGGGGACCCAACTCTGAACTTGAGACAGACTACAACTCTGTAAAGAGGGCCTAGAGGTTAGGTCTGTTTGTAGGAAAACCGGTAACCACTAAAGCAGTCGAAGATGTAGCTTCAGCTAGCAACACTCTTCACTTACTACACTTCTGTTTTGAAATCTTTAGAAAGAAATAATTACCGTACCAAAAAAAAAAAAAAATGCTTTTCAGACCAGAAGACCTGGGATTTAGTGAATATGTAATAATTTATAAAATATACCAGAGAAGGAAAATATGTCCCTTTTAAGAAGAGAGGTTACAACTTTTTCAGGGGCAAAGCTATTCAGAGTTGCTACAGGTCTCCTGTCGAAGCTAAAAGCACTAGTAAATAATATACACACATGAAATCTGAATGCTTCATTAAACCAACTGTGCTTCTAGAAACCTGAAAAAAAGAGAAAAATCTAAAGCTTCCTGGTGAAGAAAATGAAGAAACTTTATGTACTGTAACTAGAGGTAGTCCAACAACTGAAGGTCAGGTCGTGCAGGAAAAAGGATTTCCTGAAATGCCAGGAACTTCCCAGCTCTTGTGGGGCCACTTAAACCATTCCAGGCACTGGCAAGGAGCCTCCGGACGGCTTCTGAGGAGACAGCCTCACAGTCTGTCTCTGTCCACGATTTCTTACTAGATCTCTTAAGACAGCTTGAACACCTGCCCAACATCTACTGGCCATGCCTCCTCCTGCTGCGGAAACGCAAGTGATCAATGTCACCGGCTGACCTGGCCTAGTCCGACCTTCAACTCTGCTTGGAGGGGAAGAGAGAATGATCAACACCACTGGTACTAATTCTGGAGCAAGAATTAATGTTTTCAGAATAATTTTAAGTCTGGTATACTGGAGTGCCTAGGTAAAAATAAGCTGAATGAGCAAAAATAGGAGTAGTCTGAGCCTTATTAATTCAAAAGTCACAGAGCTATATGGATGGGCTGGATGGCCCATGAAAATGAGCATGTTTACCTTTTGAGAGTCTCTCCCCCTGGGGACTGGTGAGCTGAGGCTTTTGGGCCATTGCATTCCAATATTGGGGCTTCCCTGGCAATACTCCTAGTCCAAGATAACCAGGATAGAGCTCTGGAAACCACTCCAGCCCCAGGGAGCTTGAAAGGGTCTTCCTATCAGCAATGCCAATCGGACTGAAGGGGCTGTAAGAGGCGTGAGGCAGGACTGAATGTAAGGTTTGCTGGCACCCAGGGTGTGACACTTGGGGCCCACAGCCAAATTTGTACTGCAGAGAGGCTCCTTCACCACTCTCTGTTAACACCTTCACAACAGGGACTCGGTTAGGACTGCAGGCTTCTGCTTTCTCTTCTTGAAAAAATCTGACAGCCAGAGAGGCAAGGCTTTGATTATATGACTGTGACACAGAAAGCAGCTCACTGCAGGTTGTCTCTCTTGGAGTGAACAAATTTAAACTGGGACCTTCATCTGGACCTTTCTTCTCTGTGGCTGAATCATCACTACTGATGTTCTTTGCATCACCGTTCACAGAAGCCCATTCCTGGATTGCTTTTACAGATACGCTTTTCTCTGCATTTCCTCTGCTCCCATGTGCCTCTGTTCCAAGGTTCAGTCCTTTTCCTTGGTTCTCCCTGACTGGGATATCTCCTACTGGGCTAACTTTAAAATTTAAAAATTGTGACTCCGTGTTCTTTTCTTGAGTCTCAGAGTCTCTAACATCAGAAGAGACTTCTGAGAGGTGGTCCCTGGCCTTGGACTGTCTCTCATTGCTTGACAATGTTTGTACTCTTTCAACCCCATAATTGAGATTCATGGGAGAACTGTGATAATCACCAATAGGCTTATCTGATAAATTTACTAGAAGCTTCTGTCTTGGGTGATCAATTTTGTCCAATCTTAAATCAGTAGAAGTGGTCCGAATATCACTGGGTAAAGCTGAAGAATATTTTCTATCTTGATTTGATAAAAAAGGTTCTACTGGGCCAAGAGGTAAAGATGTTTCAGTTTCTGGAAGGTTACTTCTACTTTCCCCTGATGGAGGCAAATATTTGGCAAGTTCTTTTTTAGGAGTGGTGTCCTCTGACGCATAAAACTGAGCCTCTGTTTCTCCCTGGAAAGTAATCTTTGGTTCGGTATTTTTCAACTTTTTGATGGAGCACTGAACTTGATTCTGGATGTCTTTATCTGCCTTTGTATTACTTGCTCTTTCCAAACCAAAAGCCAATAGTGGAAAAGACTTTGTTGTCCATTCTGGTTTGTCTTTTACCAAGTTGGTATTTCTCTTCTTACTCTCCGTCTCCAACTTTCTCTCTTTAGTGTTATTTAAGTCTGTGATGGGCCCTTTCATTTTTTTAGCGTGTGGGCGTGTAGCTGGCTTGGACTGACAAGCTTTCTGATCAGCCGGTACAGTTGGTCCTATCATCTTACAGTATGGTAAGTGGGATTTTAATCGTTTAAATGGCTTTTTACAGTAAGGACACACTTCCATCCTGGGTGAGTATCACTCTCCTATTCCTGAAAAAGGTAAATGGGAGATTATGAGGGGCACATAGTTGGTAGAGTAATTACTAACATTTCATTTACATGTGTACCTTTCATTTGGAAGAACCTAGGTTGAAAGAAGTTTTAAGAACTGTGTTTTGACTTTTTCTTACAGAGGTAGAAAATAAGAAGACATGGTTTTAGGATAAATATCCCTGGCTTCACTTCTGTTTACATTTCTTAAAGTCTTCCAAGAATCAACTGTTAGCAAAAAAACAACCAAAGGGATTTTCAACATCCCTAACTAGTAGATGAGGAAAGCCAAAAGACTTAAATCTAACAAGTTAATGGTTAAATTAATGGAAGAAAAAGTTGTACAAAATACCAGTAAGGGGGCGCCTGGGGGCTTAGTCGTTAAGCATCTGCCTTCAGCTCAGGTCATGATCCCAGGGTCCTGGGATTGAGCCCTGAATGGGGCTCCCTGCTCAGTGGGGAGTCTGCTTCTCCCTCTGGCCCTCCCCCTCCCTCCCCCTGCTCGTGCTCTCGCTCTTCAAATAAATAAAACTTCGGTATACCAGTCAGATTAAAATGTTTGCTGTTTAAGGTTACAGCAAGTCAACTGGTTATTACAGGAGAATAAAGAAATTGTTAAAACCCCTTAAACACATCATTTAAGGAAAAAATGGTAAAGAGTAAAAACTCAGGCCAGGATCTGAAGGCTGTTGCTTAGAGTCATGGTTTTCAAAGTTGTATATGGAAGATCCACTTCGGTGCAAGACCTTCCATCATTTCAGCATGAGAAATGAAGCTCTAACACCATATTAGTAATATGTGTATACACATATACGTGTATATGTAAAAGTGTTTATGATGTACAAATGATACATACGTGTAGGGGACAGAGTCCCCAATTTTTGACTTAAGGAGTAAGTACAATGGACTATGAGCAAATTCATTGTTTGAAATCTTTGTGATATTCATACCATGTAAAAACATGAAAAAATAATACCATGTATCATTTGTACCTCTTTGAGCACTGAGCCTGACATAGGATAGTTGAATGAATTCCTTTTCTAGACATAAATATGCAAATGCTATCATCACAGATGACTAACTGTGAATGTCTTCTGACTACTGAATAGGTCAAAAAATGAGACTAAAGCCATTTACAAAATAAATACATAGAATCCTGGCCAATCCATTTAGGATCCTATATGAGCTCAGGCAAAACGAAGCTGTTTCTGGCCAAAGAACTTTAATTATTCTTACTTTGGAGGTACCCCCTTGACAATATAATCAAAGTTATGGGCCGCTGACTTACAAAAATACAACTGAAGCCAGTCCACGGGCCTTGTACTAATAACTTTAGAGGGGGCTAGAGACCTCTTAGACATATCTGCCTCTACATTCAGGATCCTATATAAGCTCAGGCAAAACAAAGCTGTTCCTGGCTAAAGAACTTTAATTATTCTTACTTTGGAGGTACCCCCTTGACAATGTAATCAAAGTTATGGGCCGCTGACTTACAAAAATACCCACAACTGAAGGCAGTCCACGGGCCTAGTACTAATAACTTTAGAAGGGGCCAGGGACCTCTTAGACATGTCTGCCTCTACATTACTCCACCACACTTAATCCTACTGGAAAGATCCTGTACCCTCACGTGGTAACGTCTTACCGTGGGTGACGGACTACTTTCTTACTGGAGCTTCTCCACCAGAATGCTAATTTTGTGGTTGTTTCTCTTGGATCTCCACGCCTCACGATCGCAGTTTCCGAGTCCGGCAGAACAAACTCGATTTTAACTGTCAGCCTGCGCGAGACGCAATCAGAAAAGTAACTCGACAGCACACCCAGTGAATGGATGTGGCGCGGCACTGAACCAAGAACAAGCTAACTGGGTTATCGGCAGGACAGGTCCCCCTCGGCGCTCCGGAAAGCGAACAGTTAAGACCGCGCCCGCCTTTCGGGCGCAGAGCCCGTGGGACTCCTGCCAAACGCCTCCCCTCCCCCCACCCCGCCGCGGACTCCCCAACCCCTACCCCCCCACAGCCGCGATACCTGGCCCGCCCTCCTCCCGGCTCCCCCGCTTTTTCCGGAAGCGGAGCAGCTGCTTCCCGCTGAGTGGGCGGGGACCGCGGGGCAGCTTGAGGCTCCGAACTCTCCTCCCCTGCAGCCCCAGCCGGAGGCGCCGGAACCGCACAGACGCCGAAGGGGGCTCGTCCTGCCGCCCCGGGAAGCAACCCCCGCCCCCCCCGGCTGGCCCGCCATCCAATTGACTCTCTCTCATCCGGGGAAGACTCTCCCATCGCCGACCCAGGGCGTGGGCCAGAGGACACAGCACCACCAGCCGCGACTAGCCCAGAGCAGCATCCTCACCTCCCTAGGCGCGGAAGTTCCGGAAGCCCCCGCGACAAGCCCCCCAGCGCAGCCCTCGAGCCTCTTCCCAACTCCCCGGCGGCACGCGCTGCAGGCCGTCTGCGCCACTGCCTGATGCTTCTCAGCTGTGTTTTTAAAAAAACTGTACCGCACAGAGGCCTAACTCAAATACTTGTATCGTATTATGATGACATAATTTAAGTTAATTTAAACCTGGCTTGAATTTTATGCCGTCCCCGCTCGGCTACGAACAGGCGAAAGCTCAGGCCGCCTCTCGTGAGGTCCTCTCTCCCAGAAGCTCTCAGTCACTCCTCCCCACCCCGAGCCCGCCTCTTCCCGTGGGCGGGGTTACCGGTCGGCGCGGCCGGGGTCGCGCCAGTGCGCAGCCGCGAGAGGGCGGTACCACGGCGGCTGCGACATGGGGGGGCGCGGAGCAGACGCCGGAAGTAGCGGTGGTACAGGTCCCACCGAGGGGTACTCACCGCCGGCAGCGTCCACCCGCGCCGCGGCTAAAGCCAAGGCCCGAGGGGGTGGGCGTGGTGGCCGCCGGAACGCAACACCCTCTGTTCCCTCTTCTCGCGGAGCGGCGCCGCGTCGCTCCCCTCCACCGGCTGCCATGAGCGAGCGCCTCCGCCCCAGGTGAGACCACAGGGACCCCTTCTTTCCCAGCCCCTCGCCGGGGGCTGGAGCCGAAGGGGCGCGCGAAGCGGGGGTCCGAGCAAGCGTGGGCCCTGCGGGTCTCCATCTGGGTGCTTTGCGGCCCGGGGGAGGAGGGAGAGGGATGCGCAAGTACCTGGTCCCTGAGGTGCTGGAGGAGTGACTCGCCGGGGTCCACGTTTTCCCCACCCCAACCCCGTCTTTTTTCCCCCTCCCTCGTCTTTCCCTACTTGGAATGCAGACTGAACGATCCGAGAAGAGAGACCGTGGCCCTAAAGCTTCCCTGTCCTAAATTTAGGAGGGTGGGGGATGGGAGGAATGTCTGATCTTTGAGAGGGAGCCCCTAGGACGTCTTTGAGGGGCAGGGACGGGGAGCTGCCGTCTTCCCAAGGTCAGGAAGAAGGATTGGATTTAACTCTGTAGCAGGGAAGGATGGGGACAGATGGAAGAATTTGTGCCCTCGGACGGTTGTGAACGTAGAAGGGCAGATGACTAAAGTGGCTTGTAGCATTAACAGGCAGGATTCTAAACTGTTTGGATGCGGAGCCGTTTGACTCCGAAGGCGGGAGGTAGGACTGTATCGCGATGCTCTACTTTTCCACTGAGCCTGGCCTCGACCCGGGTCTTCACCCAGGGGTGCTGTGCTTGTTTGACGAGTGCAGAATAGAGTCCGGATCAAGCTGCAGTTTCTTTCTTCCTTTCTTTTCTCCTCGTTTCCTCCTGTAAGAAGTTGGAGGAGGAGAGAGTTAGGATTGGGTACCCCAAATGAAAAGGAGCAACTTTACTTCAAATTAGAAAAACCCCTCATCGTGGAATTTGAAGTGAAAACCTATAAATCACCAAGTCCAACACTGTCATTTTTCTGATGAGGAAACAGAGAGCTCAGCTGGTTTACTCGAGTCTTTCTAGGTTCACTGCACTTTCGTTATTTCCCGATAGTCTCACTAAAGCTCAAGTGAATAAAATAGGTTTGCCTTGGTAGATTATGCTGGATTTTTTTCTTGTTATTCCATATTTTCATTGGCTCTGAATGTGATTGACAGTCTTCCCACAAAGATCGTGCTCTGGAGGATGGTCAATTAAGGGATTAAGATTCTGGAAAGCATCCTGAGGTTATTTGGTCAGGTAGTGAAAATCTAGGGTCACCCATACTTTTGCATTGGATTATTGATTTGGGTATATAGTCAGTGGGGGCATAAAGCCTGCTTGTACAGAAAATAAGAGTGGACTAGATTTGAAATTAGGGGCCCAGTTACCGACTTGCTATTGGAATTAGGAACAAGATCCTTAGGTGTAGTAAACCAGATCCAACTGCCATTGTTTTCCTTCCCAAACCCAGTTTATACTTCTGATAGTCTCTTGTGATGTCTCATATTTGAAAAAGTCTAGATATTTTCTGCAGAAAGATTCCTTTTATCCATCACTGGATAAGCAAGTGTGAATGGGCTTATACTGGTAGCAGATGCCTTTTATCTGGTATGCAAATAACCTCAACATGTTTATACTGGTAACTTCATTGCTATAAAGGAAACCCATGTGATTTGGACAGGGGCTTCTTACCTATTTTTCACCCCATGTTCGGTGGAGTATGATGGACCAGCTCTGCCAGCTCTCGCTGTCATCATATCTCCAAGTCAGCTCAGTTTTCTGGATCTCTTTCCTCAATTTTAAGAAGAGGGGTTGGTCTTAGGGCACCTGGGTGGCTCAGTCGTTAAGTGTCTGCCTTCGGCTCAGGTCATGATCCCAGGGTCCTGGGATTGAGCCCCATATCGGGCTCCCTGCTCCGCGGGAAGCCTGCTTCTCCCTCTCCCCCTCCCCCCGCTTGTGTTCCCTCTCTCGCTGTGTCTCTCTCTGTCAAATAAATAAATAAAATCTTAAAAAAAAAAAAAAAGATAAGGGGTTGGTCTGAGATGGTGATTTTTCAGACTGTTTTAAAATATACTGAGGTGGCCATAGAGGGGTAGATGTATGCCAAGGAAACCCCTACTTTAACCAAAACAAGTCCTTTATTTCATATATATATTGAATGATTTTTTTTTCCTGATAGAAAAAAAGGGCTCTGTTACTATAAAAAAAAAAAGTTTGAAAAACACTAGTCTCCATACTCTTAAGGTTTCTTCTATGCTCAGTCTCTAGATGACAGGAAGATTGGAAAGAAATGAAATGATGAGCAGTGATGTAATCAGCCATCCTTAAAAGTAACAGATGCTAAACAACAATCTGTAACTAGATGCCTGGGGAGAACATAATCAATTATATGGTGGCTGCTAAAATTATAACCTGGTCTATGGCATTAATGGGGAAGGCTATAATCTGACTTTGTGGATACGGTTGAACATGAAGCTATAATCTTGGCAATTATTAACAATACTGTTGAAAGAAGTATGTTTCAAGGATAGAATCTACAAAGAGCCTAGAAAAAGAAGAACAGGAGGGCTCATTCTTATTCCGTACCATCCAAAGGAGAGGGCCTCCTACAGGAGCTGATTGGGGTACCTTGAGAAAGCAGCTGATTATGAGGCAGGGATATTTCATGGGACTTTCCCAGAGTTTACTTGAAATCTGCAAAACCAGCTCATCCTCTGTTCTCACAACCTTTTGGCCCGACAGCCTCCTTGATGTTCATTTTCTTTCACTGCAGAGATATGCCGTGGATTATAAACGAGGACATTGGAAAGTTTGGGTCAGGCTCATAAGTGGTTAGAGTGGCTCAGCAGCCCAGAGCACAGTCAGCTGCTGGCATATTGATAAGAGAAGAGTTTGGGGACCAGCATTTGGGGAGTTTCCCTGGGGTGGCAACTGGTCTTCTGTCGGACCTTGCTCTGTAACTGCAGCTCTTTTCCAAAAAAATTCTCTGATCATATCATGGTGAAAATAATAATTATTTGGTTCAAGTCTGTGGTAATAGCACATCCATTTAAGTGAGTATTAAACCTGCTTTTCGCCTAGTTTTTAACCTCTACATACTTCACAGTAATATGCGGTTAAGATCTAATGTCCTGAGAGAAAGGTTAGGGAGCAGAAATGATGATCTTAGAAACAACTGAGTCTTAGAATGAGGTCAGTGGTATAGCCCTTTGCAGGTTGGTTAATGCTTGATCAGAACCATACACTCCCAATTTATCATTCCAAGCCTAAACTGGGTCTGTACTCATTAATAAAGTTGCATGTATTCAGCGTACAGGAGTATTGCAGAATACAAGGAATTGAGCTCAGGGTGATAACTTAAATTTTCTCCAGTATCAAGACCTCAACTCAAAACCTTCGGATTATAGGCCTGCCCCACTATGCCACACTCCTCGCATAGAAAATATACGACTCTATAGAAGATACCGGGTGCTCAAATTCAATACTTTCCCCAAAGCTGTTTTTTCCTTTAGCTATAGAAATCTGAATCTTTAAGAGTTTTCATTATAATAGATTATGCTGCTTTGTATAAATTGGTCTCTTGCCAATGCGGTCCAGTGGCATTTTCTGTAGCGATGGGAATGTCCCCTGTCTATGCTGTCCAGTACAGTTGCCACTAGCTACCTGTGTGGCCTTTGAACACTGAAAACGTAGCTGGTGTGACTAAGGAACTGGATATTAAATGTAAATAACTGCATGTGGCTAGTGGCTACCGTATTGGATAGCACAGTTCCAGGCAGTTTGCCTTCAAATGATACCTCCTCTAATTTGTTTCTATTTTATGTCTTCTAAAGGGGGGCATAGAAGTCCTTCTGGGGGGGCGCCTGGGTGGCTCAGTTGGTTAAGCGACTGCCTTCGGCTCAGGTCATGATCCTGGAGTCCTGGGATCGAGTCCCACATTGGGCTCCCTGCTCAGCGGGGGGTCTGCTTCCCCCTCTGCCCTCTTCCCTCTCATGCTCTCTGTCTCTCATTCGCTCTCTCTCAAATAAATAAATAAAATCTTAAAAAAAAAAAGTCCTTCTGGGAACACTTAATTCTTAATGTGTAGTTTTTCCTTAAACCTGAAAATTTTGAGCAGCTCGTGCTGCAAACTCAAAGTAACCATCTGGTGACGTAACATACAATACTAGGTGGTGTAGAGAGAATAATGGAGTTAATGTGTCTCAGAGCAGCCTCTCCGGGGATGGTCGGGAAGGGTGATCTAATGCTTTAGAGGGCATTGAGCTTTTGTTGCATGTGATAATTGGGGGGAAATCAGGGATGAAAGAAAACTGCAGATTAGAGACCACATGAACCTCTGATGATATCCCTGTGTAGCACCATTTTCATTAGGATTTTAGGGGTACGTGGGCAGAGGCAGCCACTCCTGTCTTACATGTTGTCCTGTGGAAGGGAGTAAGATGAGGTAACCTGGAATTGTGATTTCAGGAAATGCAGAGGGAAGATAACCTTAATTAGGTGGAATTTGGAGGCTTAGTCATTAGCATCACCCTGCACTTACTTATTCCCAGTAGGCATTTAAAGTTGCCAAGCTTCTTTTTAGAAATCATTTGTACTAATTTAAGCTCGCCCCTACTGCTGCTATTTTATATTTTCACTCTTTTGCCCAGCGACGGTGTACTTCTAACTTTTTACCTATTGGGATAGCATATGATGAATTCTGTTTTCTCAGGCAAGAGGGCAAATTTGTTGTCATGATTTACAATTTTAAGCGTCTAAAAGATCAATTGTTGGATTTTTTTTTTTTCTTCTTGTGATTTAATTTCAGGAAAAGGAGAAGGAATGGCAATGAAGAAGACCATCATCTTCCCCCCCAGACCAAAAGGAGTAGTAGAAACCCTGTTTTTCATGATTCCTGGGACACAGAGGTAGGAAGTGTGTTCAGAGTCTCTGCTGTTTTCATTGACTTGAGCTAAATGACCCAGTTTCTTCATGTAATTAAAGTTATTCTTCGAATAAATAAAAGTGATCTTACTTGATTGCAGTGGTTTCAACTTCTTTTGAGTCATGGGCCCTTTGAGGAAGCTATGTACCTTCTCCCCAGCGAAGTGGTGTATGTCTGCACATACTAATACATACACACAGCCCAGAATTTGTTAGAAGTTTCATGGACCTTTGAAAACTCATCTTTGAGCTGTCTAGTTGAATTTCGGAAACGAACGGTTTTCTAATAGTGTATGAGCCATTAATTATCCTTAAGCCAAGTATATTTTGTTGCTTTCATTCACATGTCTTTATGAGGAACTATATAAACATTCAGAATAGGTAATGCATGTGTACACAAAATCCTGTTTTTAAGCATTACTGCTTTCTTATCACGTTGTTCTAAAAGAGCTCCTGCGGGAGGCAGGGTGGAGGGGAGCAAGCGGGGAGAGGGGGAAAGAGCTCCTGAAGTTTTGGTTTTCTGAAAAGAGAGCTTCAGTGTGCATACAGGTGGCAGAGTTTCTGTGTGCACTCCAAGGGCTGCCTACAGAGGGAAAGGAGGCTAACCTTCAAATGACGTCTCTGTTACTGGACAATTGTGACCCGTAACGAGTGGTCACCCTGATTGAGAAGCTCCTAGCTGGCAGAGATCTCTAAGCCTGAGCCTTGTAACTTAGAGCAGACCTCTGTGTGTCACAGAACTCTGTGTATCACAGTTTTTGCACAACCAAAATAATTCGTACTTTAATTAGTTCTCGATAATAGGATTTGACCTACATCCAGTCTTTACCGGAAATCCAAAGTTACTCCTCCCAAGGGGGGAAGAAATCAGTTAACTCTCACATAGGTCATACACATTCAGGGACGGTTGTTAATAAGTGCAGATTAGCTTCTTCTGTGTGGATACTTGAGTTTCTGTAACTCCTATCCCCCTTTTAAAAATCTTCTCTCATGCTTTTTTCCTTTTTCTTATGTTTTAAAAAATGATTAACAAAAAAGCAGTTGAGCTTTTGTTTAATGTGACGATTGGGGGATGAAAGAAAAGCAGAGATTAGAGGCTTCCATGAGCATCCAGTGATAAAACTGTGACAGTCATTGAGTTTCCATTATTCTTTTGGATTATAAGTCTGTTAAAACGTGTGCAGTGATTACTTTCACCATATCAGTGTTTCCTTACTTGTGTGTCTGTGCAGATCCTGCTAAGTGATGTTTACATTAGTTCAGAGGCTCAGTCGGTCTAACTCTTTGTATTGATTACTTGCCTTATGTTTCCAGTTGTGATGCCTGAGAACAGGATTATAAATTGTCATTTAAAAAAAAATGCAACACTTCTGCTCTCTTATTTTCAGTAAGACTCTTAATAGTTTTGTTTTAATCACTTTACCCCCTCTCTAAAACCTGTGCATTGATACCACAGAAGCAAACGATGTATTGTTATTCAACTTCTTGGTTCATGTGTCTCGTTCTTCCTTGTTCAAAGAAACAGAGCGGCTAAACCACTCTGTAATCATTAGTCTGAAAGATGGACTAGCTTGCCTGTGTTACAATTAACAAGCAGCGCAGGCACTTTTTATTTGTTGTGGTATCTGGACTCACTGGTAGACCCCACGTGGATGGTTAGGACCATCCCCTTCAGCCTTGCTGACTGACCGGTTCCCAGTGCTCTGAATGTGTGGCCTCTTGTGCTGTGCTTCTCCAGGGGTGGAATTAACCAGTAATGAGGCCGAGTCAACCAAGGGAAGGCTAGAGAAGCAAAGAGCAGGGGAAAACCTTTAAAATGGAAAGTTAAGCCCTGAACAATTGGAATAGATCATTGTGTTTATAGCACAAAAATATCAAGTCTAGGGGCACTTGGCTGCTTTTTGACAATTGTGTATAAAAAGGAAAATAATAAAATGATTCATTATTAGTGGATTATTATTTTTGTTAATTTACATAATCAAATGTTAATGAAAATGTTATTTTTTTAATTCTAAGGTAGGGCCAATGAGGTAAGTTTCCTTAAGCCTAGCTCAGTGAAGAGAAACTGTTTCTTGTGTCTTTCCTGAAATACTTAAGTAATTTTAGAATTCTTTTTCTTGTGACTTGAAGAGCTTTCATTTGGAAGGAGTTTGCTTTAATTCTGAGATAATTAAATTAAAGTTGTTTTTATAATTAATTTCCAAAAGTTACGTTTTTCTCCTAAATGTAATAATATTGCCAAGTACTGGGAAATAAGATGTAAGGTGTTTGAATTATGTATGCCACGTGTAAATCACAATTACCTATAAAATGGAGATAGTATATACCTCTTTTCCTAGATACTGTGAAGGTGAAGAAGGTGAACTGACTTGCCCGATTAGTTACATAAAGAGAAACTTTTAATCTACTTGTGCATTTTCTTCCTGTCATTTTTGTAGGCGGTATTATCTCTGCTTTTCAGATGGGAAAATTGGGGCACAGACAAGTAAAGTGGTTTGCCCAAAGATACCCAACTAATAAGAGGCAGAGTTGGTGAGCCCAGAGCTTGGCTGGTGAGCTCTTTGCTCCTGACCATGGTATGTGCAGTTGCACAGAATACAGGACGGAAGTTCTGAGAGATTTTGCTAAATATATCCAGAGGCAGCTAGGTTCTAGACTTCTCTCAAATCATAGGAACAGAGAAGAATAATTTTCCTCCTCCTATCTTTTAGCTGGAAAATAGTTTTCCGAGTACATGTTATGATACAGTATTAGCTTGAAAGCAATTTTAGATCTCTAGCTAGATTTGTGAAGAAATTGGGGTCTAAAGGTTTTTTTCAAAACTCTAATTGGTGTTTGAAACAAAGACCTTTAATTTTAACTCCAGTGACTTAGATTCAATCAGTTGTGAGCCTTAGGATACTATTTTAAAGTTGAGATATAATTTACTGGTATGGGAACAAATTTTTTTGTAACACCATGCTAGATGAATGTATAAGTCAGGCTCATTTTTCTCTTCATTGAGCAAAAAGTGAAATCATTTATCAATTTGTGTCTTCCTGTTGGGTCCTGTACAAAGGCAATGACATTCCCTGATCTTGGACAGGTATTTGGATGGGGAAAAACTAGGTAGATTTAGCTTTATTTAAATTTGTTCTCTTAGGGGTGGTCTTATTGGTTTGAATTTATCTTAATTTGTAGTAGAGGAATGCTCTTTGCTTTTAGTTTTAATATCTTTATCTGCAGACTATCCTAGACGTTTCCACATAAATGTGGCGTCTGTTACAAAGGTGCACGCCTTGGAAAAGGTGCTGCTACCTGAGTAAATAGAAGCGGGACATTTTTTAAATGCGAAAATCTCAGTTTGTGGAGTTGTTTTTTAGAGATCTTTAACCTACCAAGACCATTTTATTACTTTTTAAAAATTTTTTATTGTTATGTTAATCACCATACATTACATCATTAGTTTTAGATGTAGTGCTCCGTGATTCATTGCTTGTGCATAACACCCAGTGCTCCATGCAGAACGTGCCCTCTTTAATACCCATCACCAGGCTAACCCATCCTCCCACCCCCCTCCCCTCTAGAACGCTCAGTTTGTTTTTCAGAGTCCATCGTCTCTCATGGTTCGTCTCCCCCTCTGATTTCCCCCCTTCATTCTTCCCCTCCTGCTATTTTCTTCTTCTTCTTTTTTTTCTTCACATATATTGCATTATTTGTTTCAGAGGTACAGATCTGAGATTCAACAGTCTTGCACAATTCACAGCGCTTACCAGAGCACATACCCTTCAAAGTGTCTATCACCCAGTCACCCCATTCCTCCCACCCCACCCCCCACTCCAGCAACCCTTAGTTTGTTTCCTGAGATTAAGAATTCCTCGTATCAGTGAGGTTATATGATACATGTCTTTCTCTGTTTGACTTATTTCGCTCAGCACAATACCCTCCAGTTCCATCCACGTCGTTGCAAATGGCAAGATCCCATTCCTTTTGATGGCTGCATAATATTCCTGTGTGTGTGTGTGTGTGTGTGTGTGTATCACATCTTTTTTATCCATTCAACTGTCGATGGACATCTTGGCTCTTTCCACAGTTTGGCTATTGTGGACATTGCTGCTATAAACATCGGGGTGCACGTACCCCTTTGGATCCCTACTTTTGTATCTTTGGGGTAAATACCCAGTAGTGCAATTGCTGGATCATATGGTAGCTCTATTTTCAACTTTTTGAGGAACCTCCATACTGTTTTCCAGAGTGGCTGCACCAGCTTGCATTCCCACCAACAGTGTAGGAGGGTTCCCCTTTCTCCGCATCCCCGCCAACATCTGTCATTTCCTGACTTGTTAATTTTAGCCATTCTGACTGGTGCGAGGTGGTATCTCATTGAGGTTTTGATTTGGATTTCCCTGATGCCGAGCGATGTTGAGCACTCTTTCATGTGTCTGTTGGCCATTTGGATGTCTTCTTTGGAAAAATGTCTGTTCATGTCTTCTGCCCATTTCTTGATTGGATTCTTTGTTCTTTGGGTGTTGAATTTGATAAGTTCTTTATAGATTTTGGATACTAGCCCTTTATCTGATATGTCATTTGCAAATATCTTCTTCCATTCTGTCGGTTGTCTTTCGGTTTTGTTGACTGTTTCCTTTGCTTTGCAAAAGCTTTTGATCTTGATGAAGCCCCAATAGTTCATTTTTGCCCTTGCTTCCCTTGCCTTTGGCGATGTGTCTAGGAAGAAGTTGCTGCGGCTGAGGTCGAAGAGGTTGCTGCCTGTGTTCTCCTTTAGGATTTTGATGGACTCCTGTCTCACATTTCGGTCTTTGAACCATTTGGAGTCTATTTTTGTGTGTCGTGTAAGGAAATGGTCCAGTTTCATTCTTCTGTATGTGACTGTCCAATTTTCCCAACACCATTTGTTGAAGAGACTGTCTTTTTTCCATTGGATATTCTTTCCTGCTTTGTCAAAGATTAGTTGACCATAGAGTTGAGGGTCCATTTCTGGGCGCTC